CACCTCCAGCACCCGCTCCGTTGCGCCTTGACGCCCGGGGCTGCTCCCAGAAGCGCCGGGGTGCTGCCCCAGCTGGGAGGTGCTGTGTGCGTCTTCTCCGCCCCAGGCTGCCCATGTGTTGCGGTTTTTGCGTGTTTTATCTACACGTAGATAGGCACTTCTTCACTGCAGCACTGAAAAGCCTGGGAATCACCCAGTGCTTTGGATACATCACAAAAATTCAGCCTATTTATACACTTTTTGTGCAAAGTCATGGTCTTTATCATATTTTAACATAAACATGCATACTATGCCCGCTATTAATTTTGACATTTACAGTGATTGGTTTAACCCTTATTAATATTCTTATATCAATACAATTATTGGTTATTCTGTTGATTACAACTCCTGATATACAAATTAAGGTGAGATAGTATTTCTTGTTTCTGTGTTATTATCACAAAACACAAGATAGGGAGGTAAGTACAGAACATTCCAGGGAGGTAGGGAAGCAGGCACGAAACATTCCCTGTCAGTTTCTCAGCTCTTACCAGCTCTAGCTCTAGCCAAGGCCTATACACGATTTCTTAGCATAAGTAAGGCTTTTAAGGTTTTATATTCCTTATCCTAATATAAGTCAATAAACTAATTAAAATAGTGATTAATTAAAATGGCAATTAGTTAAAATAGTAATTAGTTATTCATTAGCTTCTTAAAACTTAAGTTTGATCACAACACTTGCTTCTCCCCGGCAGTCCCCTTTTACTGTCCTGGATTGATGTCCTTTAGCAACCGTCCCAGGGTGAAACCCAAATGGTGATAGTGGCTGCTTCAGGTTGTTGCTCTCCCATAATACCCCCCAACCCCGCCTTGTTCCTGTGCAGCCCTCCCCAGCATGCCCAGTGGAGAGCACAGAAGTGCTTATTTCCCCTCTGGGCTCACTTGCCCATCCCTGATGGTGTGGTGCTGTGGGAGAGCGGCATAAAAGCCCTTTGCAAAAAAACCCTCCAGTGTCCTGCTCACCTTGTAATAAATGTGGGGTTGCCTTTTCTTGTCCCCTGGTAGAACAGTGGCCCAGACCGGGGTGGACAGCCCCAGGAAGATTGTGCTTCCTGCTGTAAATTCCTTTTGTATCACTAATCTTTCATTCTTTCTGTGCCCTGCAGTTTGCCTCCGGATCCAGATCAACCCACAGAATAAAAGCGAGTTCCAAGGCATTTCACCGGAGCGGGCATTTGCCGATTTCCTCTTTGCCAACACAATCCTGCATCTTGTCGTCATCAATTTTGTCGGCTGAGCTCTAGGAGAGATGGTGAGGTACTGATCTGGGGAGGTCACAAAAGGGGCAACCGCAGCTCATACATTTGGGAGAGAACTAGAAAGACCGTGAACTCAGGATTCCCAGCTTTGCCTTGGCCAAGTACAGTTAAGCTGTCATTCTCTAGGTTGATACAGTTAGGATTTATGGGTTTCTGGTTTTATGTGTTTATTCTTTTGGCTTTTAGCCTTTAAAAGGCAGTGTCGTGGTTCAAGCTGACTGGGACAGAGAACCACGTGGTCTCCAGCTCGCTCTTCCCCGCCCCCCCCAATTTCCCCAGTGATGTGGAGGGAGACACTTCAACCAAAAAGGCTCAAGGGTTTGAGATTAAGGGCAGGGAGGGTAGTAATCAACCCTTTAAGATGATGGTGAAGAACCAGAGAGACTTGGGGAGAAGAACATGGATTTAATTCACCACCATTTATGAAGTAGGATAGTGAGAGGAATACATAAAGAAATACGACCTGATCTTAAATACACTTCACCCCCCCACACACCCCTCCCGTCTTCCTGGGTACCTGCTCTCCCCAGTAAGTGCAAGGGGGGCAGGAGGTGGGGGGTTCGGTCCATCCGGCCATTACTCATTGTCCATGGCAGCTGCTCCTTGAGAGAGACGGCTCCTCGCAGTCTCTCCCTCCTGCCCCATGGTGCTCACCTCACAGGGTGCAATCCTCTTCCTCCTCGTGAGTCCCTCGGGGTCACTGATCGCTTTGGGTGCGTCCCCTGCTGATGCCTGATCCCTCTCCCCTCTTACCTGGGACTCTGCAGGTAGCAACACGTCTTGGACACTCTCACCAACATCAGTCCCCGCAGCTGGCCGGCAGTCACCTTCCTGCCATCTCAACCACCGTGGGCTTCGGGGAAGGGTCCCGCTCTGGCAACCTTCTCCTCAGGGACTCTTCTCAGGCTCTTCTCAGGGTGGTGTTCCTTTGTTTGCCTTTCACCTCCCCATGCTCCCACAGAAGAACTCCCCAACCTTAAAGACAGGACAGCTCAACACAAGACAAAAGCAAAGGGAGACAAGAACACTGGGGTCACCTCTTAAATACCTCGATGGCAGAGGTGCTGCTGGGCTGGGCCCTGGCCAGAGGCAGGTCTAGCTCCTCCCTGGGGATGGGAGAGGCTCTTGAAGTTTCGCACGAGTCTACCCTCGTTTTTTACAGAAAAACCCATCAGCCTCAAACCCAGGACAGGCAGTTTAACTAGGAGCATTACAGAAAGCTCCCCACGTTCCCTGCTTACGAGAGAAACACCCCATTCTTCCTTGCAAGAAGGGCTTTGGGAGCTGAAACTCCTGGGCTCTTCGTGAGGGTTGTCCTGTTGGGAGGCCGCGGTTTGGCTGCTGTTGCCCAGCAGATGAGAGGAGGGAGTTTGGTTCAGGGAGAGTTTGGTGGTGGATTGTGCCAGTTGTGCCCTGTTGTCTCTCTTGCGAGGGGCCACAAGATGGTTGGAACATGTGGAATAATTCCTCTCCCTCTGCCTTTCTCTCCTTCCAGGTCTTGAATTGCTCTTGAGCTCTGATGCCAAAGCCTGGCAGAGGGAGATGCAGTTCCCCAGCAGACTCGTACCTGCCTCCTCGGTGGAGGGAGAGGACACGGGGCTCAAGATTTTTCTCTGCAGTCTGTCCTGTGAAGGGGCCTACTGTCCTCTGGCGGAGTCTGCTGCCTTGTTACAGTTGCTGTAATCCTTTCTGTCA